TTTAAAATCAGTACGTGAACATTATTGATTTTCGCAATGCTAGAATGATTAAGACACACAAATATGTATCGAAAATTCTGGGGAAAAAAAATACTGAAAGAATTGCATTGTATGCTTTCACCTATATTGAGAATGTGAAAGCTGAATATAATTTAGTGATGATAAAGATTATGTATTTACTACATTGAGTGAAGAAAACCACGTTCACCTTGAGGCTTTTTCAGAAATTAGTGATTATTTTATACATAATTGCATTGTAATTAGCTGCTCTGGTGATATATCTCAATTTCTTTGATGGAGTTCCACGCTTTCACATCTTGAATGTTGACATACGTAATATACCTTACCAAATTCAATTGAAATTTGTCTTCTCGAATTCTGTGACCATAATTTCTTTAACCTTTTCACCACCAGACTTTCCCGCCCAAATTTGTCTGCATTTTTTTAATTATATTCTTCAATATTTCAGGAAATGAACCCTAATTTTGGCGCCAACTGACAAAATTTGAGTTAATTTTCAGTCTTTACTCAAAAATTTGGCTATTTTTGTTCTAATCTTCTGAAGGAAAGTGCAGACTATAAATGGGACTATTTTGTGATGAAAGTGGAAACTGGTTGTGAAAAGGTTAAAAATAAGTTCCCATAAAAATTGACACACAAGAATAAACCTTTGATGCTTACTTTGATGAGGTTTTATGCTGACAAAATCATAATAAATATAATCATTTTTGGTTCTATTATAATTTAATTTGTAACCTTTGACTCTACAGGCTAATATAATGTGCATAATATGCAATAAAGCGTGAACTATCGATATACAGTATGAATAAAACAGAAATCACAAGGATACTACACAGACCGGTTGTTTGTTATATGAAAATAACACAAATTAGCATTTAATAACATAATAATTAATAATAAGATACAAACAAAAGCTAATTAACATTAGCAGCTGACCTGATTGATGACAGTTATATTATTAATGACAACTTGCAATTTGCTAATTTGCATAAAATAAAAGAACTGTAACTATTTTATGATGATATAATTGCTAACCTGTCGTCCTGAACATTCAGTGCTCTCTGTTTGTACTGTGAATTAAACTATCTACATGTACAGCTGTTGTGCATCACAATGAATTCTTCCCATAGTATCTTGTGTATCTGATGAATATAAAATTTGTCAATGTGTTGTCATAGTTACATGTATTGCTAAATTTAGCCTCGCTCACCTTGAGTTAACAGATATGCACGGTTGGAATATGATAACACACAAGTATGCATGTCTAAGTGGGATACTATAAAGCCCCTAAGTAACTCAAGTTGTAATGTTACCTTTTGCACCATATTACATACATGTACATGTAGACAGTGACATGCAGAAGTATGGTATGGTTATACACATGCAGGCACATGTGCTCTATTCGTAGATTTCATTCATATTTAGTATGTTTCACTATGGTGTGATCAAGTTTGTAACTTATTTTAAAATATTGAACTCAGGCATCTTTATCATTAACACTAAACACTGCTAAATTGAAATACTTAATTATTTTTTATTAATTATAAATAATTAAATTATGTCTGGCCAGGATTGAATTAATTTTATTTCAGTTATTTATGATTGCATCTCGTGCTAAGGTGACACATTAACTTGTATTTTTTCCATAATGTGAAATTAAATTACTCGCAATAATATAGCTATTTGGGGTAATGCATGGTTTGTAAAATATATTGTATTCTCACATGTATGAAGAAACCTGATCAATGTGCAGAACAGGGTTATAGCCGAAAATGTGAAAGTGCCTGTCTTAAAACTTTATCAAAATATAAAATACTACCCAGGAACACTTGCTAGTCTGTATCCATAGACTTATACCGGTACTTATAGTCAATTTTTTGTTGGTTATTTATGGTTACTATATAATTTACAGATAATATTCAAAGACAATTTGACAGGCTTGGATAGATTTAACCTGTCAAATGCATTTTTATACCTTTCTAAAATTTGGAGTACTTCATTTCCGGGGGCTGGGATGAAAGAAATACAATCGTCCGAAATAAAAATATTTTGGATGTCAAATAAAAAATGTACCAAAATAACTTTGTTTGATATAAAAACAGTACAGTATCATTAATAATTGTAAAAACAAGCATTATTTTGGTAACAAACTAAGCACTAGCAATGTTTGCTCTCCCTGATTTACTTTCACAGGTAACTTGAAGTACAAGCACCATTATCAATGTTGAACAGTTGCTAGTTCTGTCATATTTTGAAAATAAATTGCATATTTTTTTCCATATTTTTTTAGCTAATTTTGATTAAGACCTGTAGGCAAACTATATGAAAAATTTGATTCAAATTTGAGAAATTAATTATAGCTAAATAAATAAAAAAAATGAAAAATATTATGGCAAATTTTCAGCGGGGAAAATTATGTCATTCAAAAGATTAAATATTGACAGATACATCAGTTCATGTTTTAATAATTGAACTGTAAATTATGTAATCTCAAATATGCAACATGCATATTTTGTAATAAGAGAAATTTGTATTTTTACAGGATTTTTTTAATATATCAAATCAGTTTGTTCATGTTTGTGAAGTGGTTTGTTGAATTGGCATATGATCTCTTTGTGTACATCCCCTGTTGATATAATCAGGAAAAAACGATGCATACATTATTATACATGTATCTGGTGATTCTTTTATTCCTGTATTATCATCATTCATATACTGTAAAATACTTTATTTTCGCTTAGAATTATTTTTCGCTATTTTCGCTGAAAGAATGATTCAATGAAAATAAAATCCAGCGAATATACATTTTTTTCCTATTTTTTACATTCAACTCGTCAAAAATCAGTGAAAATAAATTCCATTACAAAACACTCAAAAAGTGTTGTTTTTTTTTCAGCTAAAATAAAGTATTCTACAGTATGTCAACATATGTTGGGGTGTTTGTCGGACAATCTGGTGCCCCAGAGTTAGCGTATTAAATATTGTGACACATTCAATATTAATCTTTTGCCCTTATGTACACTGTTGAGATTATTTTATTGTAAAACCCAATTTGAGATTCGTTACCTTTACTATAGTGATTACTATAAGTACCTTTGTCGTGTTCTTGTACCATATTTGCTCTACTAGTACCGCACATGCTTTTGGCTCCTCACTGTTAGTAAAATTCATAAAGAACTGCAGAAGTGATAATTATATAGTAATAATTATATAGTGAATAAAATACAATCAGCATCTATGAGTTTAAATGTTTTAAATCTATATTCAAATTCAAGCTCTATAAACTTTTCTATCATTTACATTTATCCTGGAATTAAAGTAGTTCCAAATTTGCTCTGTGAGAAACACATTTAGGCTGAGAAAAAAAAATATCTCTGTTTCCGCGCGCTTTATTTTGAACTATGCACCTCGGATGTTTTTTTCTTTCTAAAGCATTCCAAAATGCCCTTGTACTCGCACTTGTCTCAAATTTTCCCTATTTTAGCTCAGTATTAAAAAAAAAAAAAAAAAAAATCGCCTAGCCGCCGAAATTTTAAAATTTCTATGAAACGAGAAACAGAGAATTTTTTTCCCAGCCTTAGTGTATGTGACTGACCTGTGTAATGATTTTAATATAGCCTGTGAGTTGGTATACTTACATGTAAAATCCCACAACAGCAATAATTATTGGTATATCAGATAAAAGACCTGTACACATGTATTTTTAATAATGACAAACTAGATTTTAATTAGTCTTTATTTTGACAAATATTGGACGAGGGATTGCTCCTTGGGTTTCTGCCCTAAACGACAAATGAACACACAAAAAAATGGTGGGTACTGTAATCTGTCAGGGCATTTCATGAGCAGATAAAATTTCAAAATCTTAAATAAATTGCCATACCATGTTCCTTCTATTTGAAAAGCATCTCGCTTTACTGCCTGGCATTGCATTATCTGAACTGGATTGACCCACTTATGATACTTTTGGTGGTTCACACCACTTAACTTGGTTAAATGAACTGCAGTATTTGTTGTAAGTAGGGATACATTTATCCTTGCTTTATTCGTTTGTAATGTTAAACTCTTGGGGTATTCAGTATGGCAGATCTTAATTTCAGATGTTTTAATGAACTTAAAGGGGGTATATACTGGTACGCATTTATCAGTATATTTTAAAGCGGGAGGGTCGTTACCTGCACACATGCGAGAATTGAGTCCCAAGCGATGATAACAGCACACGCTAAGAACGCAAAGGCTGATGGGTAGACACTTGTTTGTGAACAATGATACGCTATGGCCACCTTACGCATGCGTAGGTGACGACTACCCTGCTTTAAATAGTTTGAATTTTGCAAGAGACAAATATTCGTGAGTCAGTGAGAATCGCAAAATTGCAGTAAAAATTTCTTAAAGGGTTCTAAATGTATGACCAGAGTGCCAGCGACTTTCATATTTTATCTTTGTGAATTCTATAAAATTTAGAAATCCCTCAAATTTCTGGCAGTGAAAATTAAACGATTGACAGTAAATATGAATTTGTGTGGGGTTCAACCCTCCTCCAACCCAGAGACAGTACACGTACATATTATTATCATTTGTCCAGCTATCAGAAAAACTTGTGCATGCTTGTTTATAGATCACACATAATGGTGCATTCTAGGGGAAATGTTACCCTGTAACAGTTATAATATATCAATTTTTGAACTTCAGTGGTAATTGCTAACTAAAATTGAGCATGCCAAGCTATTAGTGCTTGAATGAGTGTACTAGTTTGCATAATTATCCTGGACCATTTAGTGTACTGGTAGTACAAATCTTTGAGTGCATTTGAACAGCGCCCTCAGTGTCAAACTCAGGAAATCTATAAACTTTAAATACACAAAGTAGTATTTATTAATCTTCAATTTTTAATTTCATGAGATTAACTAAAATTGAAGGTAAAATGGAAAAAGCACTTAGTTCCGAATAAAAATAAAATTGTTTTTCAATCTTTTCAGAGTGATGATTGGTATATCTTGGAAGAAGAGGTGACATTAGAGACTGTTGATGTCGATATTTCAAGTTGGCATTTTGTTTGTAACAAGGATTTAATGGAGTCGCCAATTGATAAACCTTCTGAACCTAAGCCCTCAAACGAACTTTCAGAATTTTCAACGTTAGATGAATTTTCTTCTCTTGAAGAAGGACCATTATCACCACCAGAAAAGAAAATGAATGTGTCAGAACACGAAATGAATATTGCTATTCCTGTTTCAACTGATGCCGTAGGAGTTTTAGAAGAAGACACTCCAAGGTTTTCTGAACCTGATACAGAGGATGATAGTTTTGTGATACCACAAGTGCAGTTTTCAGACAGTCGAGATTCAGAACATCCTGTAATGAGAAGCTTGATGATTGACAGTGGTCAAGGTTCCTTAGTGGCTGGATTATCACAGGAAGAATTTCCTGACATGTCTTCTGAGGATGACCATTTCTTGAGTAGTAGTGACGTTAGTATACCAATGGGTACAGGTACTTCTGATGAGCAGACAACTACAGACACAGAAAGTGGTGATAGAACTATGCAGACTGTGGTTGATATTAAGTCTCAACCAGCTGTGAGTGAAGCCATAGCTGAGATCTCTTCAGACTTTGTTAGTGGAACTTTTAATGTTTCACTTGCGCAGCATCCTATTGATGATGCCAGCACACCAAGAAGCTTGGAGGAAGAATCCTCTCCTGATTGTTCTCCTCGTATGCAACAGCAAATGCATGATGGGCATGTTATCAGTATTTCAGGCAGGAAAGTGTCTGAAGAATCAGCATTGTCTGAACATTTACTTGAAGATGATGTTCCTTCCCCACAACCTTTGGAAGTAGTGGAAGAACTTTCACAATACCCAATTGAGAAGACAGCGAATGACCAGTCCGAAGCTAATGCATTTGCTAAAACTGACAACGTTAGATCAGAGGAAATGTTCCCATTGCAACAGGAACAGACTATTACTGTAGATGAAGATATGGTAATGAAGAGTGAGGACATCAAAGATAATATTGTAGTTCCAGATGATGAAACAATTAACTTCCCACAAAATAAAAGTACTGTGAGTATGATAAGTGAATCCATGGCTATGTATGGCAAAAAACCTATGCACTCTTCAACACCGTTCACTGCTCATTCATTTGACCCAATTGCTAAGATTCAGTTGCCACCAGAACCTAAAGAAACACAACCAACAATAGTATCAGCTGAAATCACCATATCTGCTCCACAACCACAGTTGGAGCATGAAGATGCTACTCATTGCAAGGAAGAATTGACTGTACCTGCAAGTGTGTCTGTGAAGAAGAATTCAATGAATGGTTGCAAAAGAGAAGGTGCTGCAGTCGAATCAACACCAATTCTTGAAGTTTCTACTGAATCAGAGCAGAACTCTACTGCTTCTATTGAAGTTAAACCGTCCTCATTCTACATTGAGTATCCACCCGAGTTACAGAGTGGATCTGCTGGTGATTTTGAAGAAGATTCTACAAGAAAAAAAAGTGTGCAGATAAAGGACAATGTTGATGACCATGTTTGGAGCGGGATACAAGATCAGGGTATAAGAGCTAGGATTGAACAGGCCACACATTCACTTGGTGAAGGAGATCGTGAAAAACATCCAGCAAAATACAGCTATAGCAGCTACGTCAGTCAAGATTCACTTGCCCGAAGAGTAGCTCTACTTCTAGGAGAAGATGTTGGTGCTGAAATTGAAGGAGAGCTAAGAAGACAATCAGATTCATTCAAAGAACCAGAAATTGAAGCTACCACTGATGACTATAGTTCACTAATGGAAACTGGTGAAGAAGTTGGAGGCGTCATTTTATCTGCACAATCAAGAGAACCTATAAAGCATTCACTTTCCATGGACTCCTACCATGAATTTATTCCTCCTCCAGAGGAATTTGATGAACCCATCAGGCGTACATACTCTCCACCTGCTTCTGGGTCTGATAGTGGTGAGAGTGCAGATAGCATAAGTAGAAAAGTTGCTCAGATTCTTAGCCATGAAGATTTAGTAGATGATTTTAGGTTCAGAAGACCATATTCACCAGCTGGGTCAGATTCTACTGGGACGACAGATAGCATGGCTCAAAATGTTGATTATTTGACTCATAATGTGGATTCCCTGTTGAATATCATGCATCTGCAATCTAGAAATGATGCTGAGGGTTTTGATCTTCCTGATCAAACTCCCTCACCAAGTACCTTATCTGAAGCAAGCACGTCTAGTTCTGTTAAGGCTATAATAGAGAGAATTATGTCCAAACAGGCAAGACCAGAGGGTGATATTTTTAATGGAAGTGGCTTTATAGACGTGAGTCATATGTACCAGCTTCCGGACAGAAGCTCACCTGCTGGCTCTGCTGACTTTGATGATGATTTTGCTACTCAAATTAATGGTACAGAGACTATAATGTCAAGGCCACAAGAAACAGTAGATGGGGAAGTAGAAACCATCAACCAGAATGCTTCACTGAATAATGATGCTGAAGAACCAAAATTAGAATCTGACAGAGATGAAGATTCGCCAGACTCACTCACAGAAGGTCCAACTCTTTCAAAACAAATCTCAACTCCAGTAAAGATGAGAACTAAACTTGCTAAAAGTGTTTCCTCTCCAGCTAGTTCAGCAAGGTTTTCTCTGCATGATGATGACGATGATGATGAGGAAGAGGCTGTTGCTCAGGCTGCAAGACCATCTGATGACCATTTTGGAGATCAGCTTTCAAGAAGAGTTTCGTCAAACATTAGTGGCACTAGTCTTCAGAGTGCTGACTCTCTCCATAAAAGGGTGCAGGTATTGTTAGCCAACACAGCATATGTAGAACATCATCCTCAAACATCATCTCATTATGGTATTCCAGATCCTGAAACTACTCCAAGGGATTCAAACATTCCTGATGGTGGGTATGAAGGATTAGAAATATATTATGGTAAACTTCCTGACAGCCCTACTCGTAGCTATAGGGGTACTGAGAGAGCTAGAAGCTTAGAGCGAACTGGTCGACATTCTGATGAAGCTACACTGTTCAGGCAAGGTTCACCTCATTCATCACCACCTTCAAGAACAACATTAGAGAGACCTGCTACAATTGATTTACCAATGGATTTTGCCCGGGGTGATAGACAGAGATCGTTAAATGATTATCCAAGCAGTATTAGAGATGAAGAGAGATCATCTCTGACAGCACCTGTTGGGAGGAGTGATGTAAACTATGAACCTGTGACACGTACTGATCCAGAAGGTAGGAGTTCACGTGGAGACCCAGTATTAAGAAGAAGGATCGCAGCTAGGCTCTTGGATGATAGTACCGAAACACCTCCACTGATGACAAGTACAATGAGAAGTCCTCCAAGGAATGAAGCTGCTAATAGATTATTGACCAATACAACTGTATTCTCCACAGTTTCTACAGAATCATCTCCATCTTATGTCAGTTCATTTGCTGATTTCCATATATCTACTAGTGGACTCAATACAGAGACAAGAGATCGCCTAATAGACATGCCTATCTCAGGCAGAACTAGTAACACAGGGGCAGAGCTTGTATATGGAGTGCTACCCCCAACCAGAACATCTACTTCATTTCATGGTATAACATCAGAAGGTGCTTCTTCTGCACCAACCTTGGATACCACCACACAAGGGCATGATGAATCTTTCACCTTGGCTGATCGTGTACGTAAAATTCTTGAAAAAGAATCTCCAGTTCACCATGCCTCCCAGATATTAGATGAAGTTGAGTCTGGGGCTCTCATGGAAACGAGAGACGAACGTGACCATTTACCCAGAGCAACCTCATCTTCAGTACCAACCCAACAAGGAGTGTCGCAAATGGAGAAACAACCCAAGACTGTCACAACCCTACAATCAGGGGTTAGCACAACAACTTCCCTGCCATATTCTCCAATATTGGCTACTGGTTACAAACCATTCGGAGCTTCTGACTTTGCAAAGAATCTTATTTCAACACAATTACAAAAAATGTCTGAGAACCGGTTTGACCAAAGTATAGAGCTAAGGCAACAAGTTACTGGTATTATTGATAGGCACATGGTTGATCCATCTGAAGTAACAAGTGGCACTCCACAGTTCAGAAGGGAATCAAGAGAACGAACTTACTATGAAGAAAGAGCTGATGATTCCACGGCTACAGACGATGTTGTTCGCAGAGCAATTCATGATGCATGGACAGTGAGGGATTCTCCTCCAGTTACTCCAAGACAGGTAGACTTTGGACTTTCAAGACAGCCAGTACCATCTAGAGAAGAAAGGGAAGTCCCTCTTGGTGTTGAAGAAAGAGACACACTTTATGGACTTTTACCAGCTTCAGCCATGTCTTCCACAAGAACATCTCCTACAACTTCCACTGTGAGAACCAGTTCTCAAGATTCTCATCCACCAACCAGCTTTACTACCACTACCTCCAGAGAATATACTGTTATGCACTCTAATGGTACTGGACCACTTGATACAGGTGGAGCCTTTACTTTCCGTAAATCTCTTGGAGAGCCAAATACAGATTCCATTGGCACAAATGACCTACCCATGACACTAAGCCTGGCTAAGCCTCTAGATTCAGAGAACACCCGATCACCAACCCCAACTAAGCCATACTCTGGCTCTTCAACAGAGAGAAGTGTTGATTCAGCTTCAGTTACCCCACGAACGAGTGGTATGTCATATAGACCATACAGACCCCATGGAAGTGCAGACGCATTCCACATGTATCTTCCAGAACATGAAGATACTGCCTTGTCTCCTGGTCGGAGTGAAACCACTATGGAAAGTACACACTCAGGTATCTATAAATTCTATTTTGTGATGTCATGTTGGGTGTGAATTACACCTTGCTCAGATGATTAGATCACAAAGTTGAGTTACACTTATACCCTGGAAATACTTTTGGTTGATATTTTGATTATTACATTGTTTAATATTTTGGCACTAATGTCAAATATGATATGTATCTTTATTCTTGTAGGCTCTGATGATGCATTTGGTCCCTATGTGCCACCCGATTCGCTTGGAAGTAGGCAAGACCTAGTAACCAATAAACATCCCACTGGAATATATGGTAATCGCAGCGAGAAGAAAAAACATGTCTGGGATGCAGCTCAAGATGCTAGCTTACTAACCAGCAAGATAAGCGAGAAGAGTTTTGAAACAGACCAGTCTATGGAGATCCATGTAGTTCCTGAAGATAAAGATAGCAGCACTGACAATCTAAGAACAAAACCTGTCCGATCATTTATTGATTACCCAGATGATCTGAGAAGTAAGACTCCAGATGAAGCTGCAAGTAAACTCCGTTCCACACCAGGTTCGACTGGAACGTCTCCATTGCGACAACAATCTGGACAACGTACACACGATTTTAGAAATGGGAACTTTTCGTTAGGAACTGATATTTCTGGTTTACCCGCAAGATCTTTTATTGAGTATCCTTCAGATTTGAAAAGTCTGAGTGAAAATAGTTTCACAGTAACACCTGATAAAGGGAAAAACAATGGTGTGTCTCTACCAAAAGAGTCACCGAGATCTATACTAAAGATGTCCCCAGTAAAAGACAATGTTACGCCGAGACAAGCTGGAATGGAATCCAGAGAGAGATATCTGCATGAACCGTTTTCCATTTCACCCAAAAGAAGTACTGTATCTCAGTCTCCAAGCTTTGTGAGTCATTCGGAAAGACCTTGGGTTGAAACACAAGCACTACAACGATCATTAGGCAGTCGTTCCAATGAAGTGAGAGATCTTATTGTAACAGGTTCTCCAGGAAGAAGATTTGATGGAAGGGACAGATCTCCAAGTCAAGAGGGTGTTCCAAGAAGTGATTCCCCAATGTTCAAACCAAGCTGCAGTTCTCCTGGAAGAAAAAATGGAAAACAGGAAAAACTTACAAGTAGTGAAGGTGTGAGAAGTGAATCGCCAGTGCACCAACCTTCCACAACAACTTTTGAGGTAAGAGAATCTCCTGTTAAGGAGCATAACTTGCATTCATCTCGACCTGTTGGTGGCAGTGGTACTGAACATGCTAATCAGAAGCATTCTGCTGGAGTGCAGCAAACGACACCACTGACATCATTTGGAAGAACTATTCCAGAACAACCTCACAGAAGACCAGTTATTGGCAGAGATCAGACTCTTCAGACACGTGAACAACAATTCCTGCCTCCGCAGGCAAGACATTCTCCTTTTGAAGTTGATTATGCAAAACTGCCTGATCAGCCAGTAACATCTTTGCCAACTAGAGACTATGCAACAATGCCGTCAATGCAAAATAGAGCACTTGTGGACAGAAGCTACTCGCATGTACCTGATAGAGTTAGCCCAGATGTCACTGGTGTAAATGTAGATGATGTGGGCAGCCAGATAAATGATGGTTACACAACATGGCCACCAAGAGGTATAGCGAGAAGAAGTACAGCTCCTTCACCCACAGTTCCTACAGTTCCAGAAGCACGACCACTCCCTGTGCCAGAGCCGAGCCCAAGATATAGCAGGCAAGTTTTGCAAGAGATACTAGAGCAGGAAGACAGAGACGCGCAGAGACTCAACGACCTGTGGAACAAATTTCAGGAAATGGTGTCGGTGAAAGCTGACGATACCGCGTTGACAGATAGAATGGAAAGATTGGCTAGCCTTATTCAGAATCCAGTTCAGCATACAGTTAGATATGCTGGTAAGTTGATGTTTAATTTATGAATTTCAGCACCACAGAATATAAACTTGCATAATTATTTCCAAAATTTTGTAAGACCTGTAAATAATACAGAAAATGGAAAATTATGTTAAAATAGTCGGATGCATAAAAATGTTAGTGAAAAAAAAATTCTTACTTACAATGTGTTGTAAAAAAAAACCTGCCAAAATGTACAATATTCACCCCATACATGTACCCGTACATTGAATAGTGATTACATTTTGCATATACGTCATTTACCATGTAGTTTGAGATATATTGCTACATCACAATTACAAAAACATGTTAAAAAAAAGGCCGGACATGAATAATAAAATAAGTATACAAAAAATAAATAATTTAATATATATTTAAAAAACAATGAAAAAATAAGCCCAAACGAGAATTTTATTTTAATCAGATTAACTCAAACCTAGGTCAACAAAGTTTCTCCCATGTGACTATTAAACCTAATTTTTTCTTCATTTGATTTGATAATTCCTTTTCCAGAGCCTCAAGGATTCATGGAAATAGATTCTGACACTAGCACAATGAGTTCATCGAGTACACGTGGTAGACAGAGAAGAAAATGGCAGAAACATCATCAATTTGTGCCCAAACTAGAGTCGGTCGAGGCAATAGAACCATATCCTGTTCAGCCCATGTCAAGGTATGTGTCTGTAAAAAAAATAATCATTTTATCAGAAGTGGATGTTACAATGGATAAAAAACAACCTATACAAATTAGTGTTTCCGAGGGAAAAATTGGCCAATTTTATGATTATTTCATTAACAGCAGTATTACGCTACTCAAGTCGATTTCATTCACAGATTAAATTGGAACTTTAGTTATTTTGAAGCTATTTACTATTATGTTGTAGGTATGAGGAACCACCAACTGCAAGAAGTGAAGATAGCTTCATGACTAACGACACATTGACGTCTGAACGTGTTATGAATGTTGTTAGACATGTTGAAGGTACTGCACCCATGCCAGTTCAACAACAGAGGAAGCCGACAACTGGACGTGAAGCAAGGCGACCAGAACAGGAAGTACGTCGAGCAGCACCGATGAGAACTACTACAGAACCTTCAATTGATGCAAAACGAATACAGGAGATACTTGCTGCCGAGGCATCACACAGTGAAGACCCGAGTTCTCTTACTGATGCTTCGATGGCTTCAAATATGAGCTATGAAACTGAGCGGCTCTACAAGATGCTGGGGCCGAGAGGGGTTCGTCATCTTGGTGTCAAGTTAGCACGTCTGCAGAGACAGATTGACAAACAGCGAGAACGTCACGAACGGCACCAGGCTAAAAGAGTTGAAAGGCAAAGACATTATGATAAACAGAGAGTGTTCGAAAGTGAAAGTACTTTATCAGCAGAATCCATTGACACAGAAAGGCTTGTGCGGGCATTTGGACCAGAACGTGTCAATATTTATGCCTCAACGCCGGTGCCATCCACCGGACGTACTGCCGAATTGCAGGAATCTGAAATGTCTCAAGCTAGTATTACGACTGAAAGTACATTAACAGAGGAGCGTGGTAGATCTAGGCCTTGCCTCACAAAGGTTAAGAGTAGAGATGATTTTGATGTGAGATATGGGTCAAGTAGCGAGACAATCTCAAGTGAAAGTAGTGTGCATTTCAGTAGGAATAAAAGAGCGCGGTCATTGCATGACATTGTGGGTGAAAAACATTCTGATGCTAGGGAGGTAAAGGCTTATCAACGAAGAGTTAAGGAGACTAAGCCTGTAGAACGCAAGAAAGTTAAGCGATTTGAATATTTTGAAATTGATGACGAAGGTTTCAAAAAGCCTATTAAGCCAGCTGCAAAGAAAATGAATGCAAATACAAAAACAACTGATTCTGATGATACTTCAACTAGAGATATTGGTACTACTTTTCCTTCTCCTGATGTGAGAACACGTAAAAAGAAGGGTGGTACAGCGTTTACAGTGACACTTGGTACGCAGACCACACCAAAATCTGGAGACAAAGAGAAACCTAAAAGACCTCTCAAAGTATTAGACAAACCAAAGCTTGGAAAATCGAAAATATTTACTCCAGAGACGCCGGATTCAACAGAACCTGTAAAAATGTAAGTTAATAAACATATTTGTGCTTGTTGTACTGCCTCACAAAAAAAAAACGTAAAAGGCTGCCTGATGCTCAAACCTTATTTGCTCTATTAGAAGCACATCTCCAATAGAAGTGTACATACACCAAAAAACTGCATTTCTTATGAACTGGATCATTATATGACTTTATGGCTATTGACCTACCTGTTGTACATAAGCGCATGTGCTATTGAAGAGCAAATATGAAATCTTAACATTCTTACAAGCACACCAGTACAGACAAGCAGCCGACATTGTATGTCGCTTGCTGTGCTATGTATATATCAAAGATTTCTAGTGCGAGTGATTTAATTTTAATTTAGTCATCACACAAGTGCATTTAGATTTTGTATAAACAAACAAAGGTATTTACACATGTTGTATATGTCATCAAACAGGATGTGAAGCAACGCCTATGGTGATTTTAACACCATTGTCGATGCGCAGAACATCATTTGAAAATCGGAGTAAATGCTGACATTTTAAACACCAACTGCATTACTTTGCTGTGATTTTCAGCAATTTGTTGTGATTCCCAAACTACAACACCACAACCAGGGGTTTTTTGTAGAAAAAAATGATGTATCTATCGCCATTGAAATATTTTTGAAGTAATTTTAGTGTATTTGGTGTCCTGACACATTGTCAGCTGGTGTTTCACGGAGAAATATATATTTGAGAAAGATTTCATCTCGTACGGCAGCACGGAAGTGCACGGCTCAAGAAATATATTTATGACTTTTGAAGTTCAATCAGCAATTCAGTAAGAGGGCCCCTGCAGAGAGTATCAGGGCACTGTGCCCCTGTTCCTCGGTTTAAAAAAAGACCCTGGCAACAGTTATACATACCTCTGTCAAATTGTTTTCTGATTGTGAGAGGGCACTGTGCTTATATTACCTGTCCTATTTAAAAAAAAAAAAAAAATATGTATGTGACTGTTATTCAAATAATTGTTTTGTTTTGTTTTTAGACGCCCGGCTCCACTTGCGTGGTTTCAACCAGTGGTTGCTTCAAAACCATGGGAAGAAGAAAAACCAGCAGAACCAATACCATTAAAAGAAAATAAATCAGAAGAAGAGAACAAAAAATCTTTACAGGTGAGATATTGTCATGTTACCATATTATTTTGAATGTCCATCTTGCAAATATTAACACTTTCAATGACAAAGCCAACTTTTTCTCACATCTCACAAAACAAATCTATATATCAACTTTTAGGCCATATAATATATTTAAAGGGCAGTGGTCATCACACCACCCATGTGCGACATTTGTGTTGATAAACATAGATTTTCTCATAATCCAATGCGCTCTTCTAATCGAAACCACAAGGCACGGCTTGCACTGATTACCGCTGGTGATTTCTTCAATACCTTACAATCACCTAGAAAATTACCTAATTAGAGCATAGTAACCTCTCAGTTTGTACTCATTGATTTGTTCAGCAGTCAAAGTTTATATGAGAACCATATCTCATGCATGCATTTTAATATTTTTAGCATTTTGAGTTTTATTCACTGGGTTTTTAATTCATAGATTTGCCAATGCGTTCTGTTTTAATTCCACATGTTGAAGTAGATTTAATTAAGCAGATTTCACTTATCATTCAATGCATTTACAAGTACTACTGAAAACTTAGTTATATAAGCGCATATGTCCCCTTAATAATATTTCTTTACCTGACCACTAGAGGGCGTTTAGACCCAACTGATATTGGGAAATTATGTCCATTTATCGCTAATTCAAAATTGACAAAATAAATTATGAATATGGCATTCAAGAAGTTGAACTTGTACTGTCTTGACACGTTTGGATCAATGTCGTCTTGTTTCTAATCACATGACAGGATGCTTTTGAAGAAAGAAAGAATCAGTTTATTTCCAAGTCGCGGGAACGTGTCAAACATTTACAGCTGGCGGCAGAGGAACGAAAAATAGCTGCACATTATGAAAGAGAGCGATTGAAATTATTTGAAGAAAACAGATTGAAAAAATACAGTCCTAATGTTCATCCATTAAGTGGTAGGTATCTTTAGAAATAATATTCCTGGCTCGCTTGCATTCACAATATAGAAAGTATCTGTATCTTGCATTTCAGTAAGTTTAATGAAAACCAATATGGTGGAAACTGATTACTCATGTGTTAAGGAGCTTTCTAGGACATATATGTGACAATATTAATGAAAGTCTCATACTAATAATGTTGCGAAAATTCTGTAGATAATTGTTTAGTGAGTGAATTAGATCTACTTTTTCTTTTCTGTGGCTTCTTAGTGTGTTTTGAATAGACCATTTTCCATTCACTGCGAGAATCACGTGTTATGCGTGAAATCGAACGTAAAAACAGGACAAACAAAGGTCATAGTGTCGTAGTGGCGACAAACATCGCGTGGGATTCAACAAACGCGAAAGTATTTTGGGGGACATTTCCATGCTTAATAATGTGCTGTCCACAATTGATGATGGGCAATTTCGATTAAGTGAGGGTATTCGGAAGCAATATTCCTCTGTCGAAGATCGGCCGGTCGATGTGAGCTACGAATTAAAGAAATTCGAGTTGAAAATCAAATCGTTCGATTTTTACAGCAGACGTTCGACGCGCGTCTTTCATGCATCTCGCGAGATCTCGCAATTGTACGGAAAATCACCTATTCAAAAATGTTTATTTCATGAACAAAGTGTTTTTGCTGAATAATTTGAACACCACAGCAGTTACAAATGTATCTGCCACTGTGTTTCTGTTCACTTATCTGTTTGTTCGAATCATATTTCGTAAATAGTTAATCACATTATGTAATGCTTATGTTGACGTCATTTGTCCACGCCTTTGCCTGGGTTTTCCTCAAATTCCACCCTCCCCCAGTGGCTATAGACAAATTACAATATCATGAATTACTCTGTATATCGAAAATCATCCTTTAATAACAAAATTTTTTACACATATTTAAGTATTGTTTAATATGTGGTATATTTCATTAATTGCCAAATTGCTGAACATTTTACGAATTATATGTATTATTAGCCTTCATATGGTAAAACTATTTTTTCTCTTTATTAGCAGAAGCTCAGATTGGCATACTCCTATTTTTCAAGTTTCTTGAAATAAAAAATGTCTCATACTTTTGAATCTACTGTACCATGTTTGCATTATAATAGGAAGAACAGCGATCAGGACACATTACTGTCATTGCAATGAAATCATTTCATAGTTTTAGCAAGGGGACTACAATAGCTCTTCAGATCAAAAACTTCATCATTCCTCTGTTTTCCAATTATAGATAATCTTCATCAACCAAAAAGAAGACAGATGTCTAGGAAGGAAATGAAGAAACAGACTGAGAAGTAAGCATTCCATTTTGTTTTCTACGGATCACACAAAGCAAAAATGCAACTTTTGTAGTGGATTCTAACTCACATAAAAGATGAGAGCATCTTTAAATACTGGCTTAGTGGTAAAAGTGGACAAGAAAACTATTTGTCAGCAGAAAACTCAAATGGTTTCTTTTCTGAAGCTGTTTTCTCTCTCAGCTGTGTTTTAGTCACAACAAGATGGTCTTGACAATCAAAACTGAGACTCTTTTCTCATTGCCATCAAATAAATAAAGAATTGTTACCATGAGTAGTAGTTCGAACGTTTGAAAAGTCACAGACATTTGAGATGCCAACACCTAACTATACTTAATATAAATATTTATTTATTATTAACGCAACTCATGAATTTGGTATATTTTAGATTGTACAGTAAACTTCCTGAAGTTGTTAGGAAAAAGGAGGAACAGAAAAAACAACAATCTTACAAGACCAACCGACTCAGAGCTCAAATCTACAAACAGGTACGACCTTTGGTGACATTCCTCTTCAGATAGTTATGATGGGCTAGCTGGTACAAGTTTTTGCATTAATCTGAGGGCATAGTGTTTGTACATCGCCATCGTCATCATCATCGTTAACTTTTCTTGTGGTCATCAGTCTTTTTCATTCAATCTTTGCTAAACTTGTATATAATTATTATAGGAATAACTATAAAATCTTTGCTATGTATGTTTTTGGTATTCATGCAATTTTGATACGATTACATATATTTTCATCATTAATATCTTAAAGTGTGTTCTTATGCTCCCTTCATTCCGGAAATACTACCCTACTATGACTCTGACTCTGACTCAGGGTTTGATGAGGGTATGTTTATTTTTGTGTGTAACACTGGTTGTATGATTCATAATACTTACCCAACAGCTCTGTCTTGTTTCCCTTTCTTTTCATTGTTAATAACTAACGTTACCTAGTCTGGACGGCCAGTCTATATGGCTTATGGTAATGGTAGAGGGAGACCTAGGAGGTATAGTGAGAGTAGTGGTGGCCAAGGTATTCTATATTATAATCAGCACATCTGTCATTTTATATAGCACCCCTTTGTTGTGAATGGTTTCATTCTTTTTGATGTTTTTTTTTAATATTTTTTACCGCATGATCCCTTTGATGCATGTTTTTGGTTTCTGTGTTCTGTGCATCATCAGGGGATGGGAAAGGAGGGGAGGGAGCGGCGGAGAGGTGTCTCAGGACTTTTGTTGTTGTCAGTTGTGTGTTGTGTACTGTAACTGTATTTTAGGGTAGATGGTCAATTTTGAAGTAAAGGTATCTCAATGCTATATCCCGCTCTGAAAGATCAGCATTTTGAAATTGCAGCTATGAAAAAAAAAAAAATCAAGTTCAAAATCAAATTCTATTTTTGTGGCAGAAAAATACCTATTTACGTCAAGCTAGATGTCAAATACATGTATGTGCTGTATGTGTCCACAGAATACTTCTGCATTCAATGTTTATTTTGTATTTTGATTATTTAATTTTGTGAATCACTTTTTTTGCATGCGTTCTAGGTATGTTGTGTAATTCAAATCCATCAACAATTTCAAATAAGAGAATTGCAGATGTCATCACTATCACGTTTTCACTCCAACCACTAATATTACGATTGTACTACATTTAGTATACATATATACCCCAAAAAATGTTAATATTTAATTCAGTATTTTTTTCTTATTCCGTTTTTACAGAAAGTCCTTAAAGAGTTGAACAATAAGCCATGGACAGGGATGCCGGTTCTGTGAATATCTACACATCTGGGTATATTCTCCATAATCTGCATTTCTCCAGTTTGAGATCTGTATCGCCATATTTTGTGTGACCAATCAGGATGCTGTTAATTTTCACCATTGTGCCATTGTGATTGGCTGGTTATAATAAAGTGAATAGAAAAGTGTGGAATATGCTATTACAAATGTATACTTCAGTGGACCCACCAATCAGTGTGAGACACTGTAATTTTGCATTTATAAAGTGTCTTAATTATTGATTTGAGTAAAATCCTAATGACAGTGACATTTGAATTTCTAGATATATCTGCATATCTGTATTAATTACACATAAATGACTGATATGTGAATCTGTATTTCAACCTACATGTAGTTATGTTCATGTAACATAAGGTTATTCCGAGGATACAAAATGTACCTCAAAGTATTCATGAAGACAGTACAGCTGGAGTATCGACCGACAAGCAGCGGAGTGCATACTTTGAGGTATTCTCGTAATAACCTTATTATTATACATCTTTTCCTTTCAAGGATACATCATAGGAATGCCGAAATCAACAAATTTTAGAACAGAATCAGCAAACTTCTTTGTGTGGAGTCCGGTCAAACCCTGGTGGCAGCCATGTTTGATTTTATTATTAGAGGACACTTACGCGCGAAATCATTCCATATTTGCAATTCGCATTTCCTTTTATGGTAGGATAAAAATAACCTGTAAAATACCGCAAAATTATGGCATGCTGTAACTTATGGCATTACGGTGACAGATGTATAATAATAGCATGTGATAACTGACATAATATATCGATTGTCAGCTAGCAAAAAAAAAAGCAGAAGCATATGAAAATTAATATAATTTATCATGTCGCATATTTACTTACTGGATAATTGTGATTTGTCTGTAGATTTGACTGTATATAAGATAATTGAGCCATGCTTAATATCTGCGTACCTTTGTGTTTCCCCAATTTGTGTTGTTAAATAGTGATAGTGAAAATCTTGTGTGTTCTAATTCCATTAATGTTCTGTCTAAAAATCCGATTAATGTCCAGTTTAATCAACACAAATGAGATGTTCAGTTATTTCTGATTTAACAAGTTTTTGATAGTGAAAATCTTTTAAGGTCACAAAAAGCATTATTTTAAAAGCAATTTTTCTTTTGTATATGCTGTACTGAAAACTACAATGCCAAAATGCAATGAAAGAAAATGCCAGCTATGTCCATGGTGTATTGGCAACTGCTATGTTCCACAAAGTGCAAACTGGTGAAGTATTCAGAAATACTCTATATATCTATATCTCAACAACTATGCATGCTTGACTCGTAGTTTATCTTTGCATTTTACAATTCATCTCGACCATGATCACACGCTTTTGGTGAAAAGTTACAGACATTTGTGTAGAGGGAGGTATCATTTAATATACTGCTTTAAAGCCATGCTTTTCTTTTCCCATGAAAAAAAATTGGTTGAGAATGTCACCTTTCAAAGAGCAAACTGCATAATTTAGTCATATTTCTTCACAAATTTAGATTTTTCTTGTAGGCAATGAGGAGTTATTGCACTTGGTACAAAATTTAACAAAACAAATTAGAAAAGACACTCAATGATGTACAAAATGTTGTATAGAAAAATACTGTAGAATACTTTATTTTCGCTCGGAATTTATTTTCGCCATTTTTGCTGAAGGGATGATTCCGTGAAAATAAAATCCAGTGAATATACTTTTTTTCCTATATTTCACATTAAACTCATTAAAAATCAGTGAAAATAAATTCCATACAAAAAGCCTTTTCAGCAAAATTAATTCCAGCGAAAATAAAGTATTCCACAGTAGTAGTGTTGAAAAGATTGTATTTCAATGTCTATCTAATTCCAGGGAGCATCTCTTTATGGCATAAAGTCTTGAACATGTTTTCTTGAGGATTTTTCATTCAAAACAATCAGACAGTATAACACATTGGTACTTTGAGTAGGATCTATATGACACTGTAGACAAAATTCTAGTTCAGTTTGATTTTGTAATTTACAGGAAACTCAACAACTGCGAGATTTTACCACTGTCGCATGATTGAGATTCACATCATGCACAGTAGCAGTCATAATGTGCGTTTTTCGTATATTCGTTTTCTCAGGCGTGTCAAAATTAATGATAGGCTGAGATACAAGAAAATGTGTATAATTAAACTTTCAATATTAAACTAAACAATATTCTGAAAATTATCAATAAATAAAATCAATGTCTGCTAAAAGATGATTTACAAAAAGTGGCTTTTAATGAACTTTGTATTCTCAAGATGTGAATATCCTATTTTGCCAAAGTGGGCTGCCTTTTTAAATAGTCCATATTTAATAAATTAATGGTCGGCTTAATACTTTGCTTTGTAATGAAATATTGATTCCAATTGTGATTATGATAAAAAATTTAACATAGTTTAGCACAAATAGGGTATAAAACACAATTGTCATCACCAAGTACTTCTCTATTTAAAATATGTACGTCTACAACTACTTTGAACCTGCAAGCCCGTGATTGGTTTGCGTTTCAACCACATTCTGCTACAGATTGACAACAATTATTCACCATTTGGTGAAATGACACTTGACACGGTGTTGTAAATGATCCTCCATGACTGTATGTCTTGCAAGTGATTTGTGATTACTGCTAAGCACCGATGTTAGAGCATTATTCGGCGTCATGTCTTTGAGCGATGTGTCGTCAATCTGAGACTAGGGTCACTCTTCTACCAGTCTTCAATTACAATGGAAGTGTTACAAGTGTTTGTATTTCTTGAAATTTACTGTTAACCACTCAAATTTATATATTGCCAGATAATTTAGTGGTGTTCTCAAGTTTACTGTTTTAAAAGGCTCCTTGTGAAACTATTTAAATGATGTTGGTCTTAGTGTTTGATATGGGTTCTGTAATCGATGTGCACAATGTGTCCGAGTTCTAAACACAGTCCTTTATTAAAGTTTAATAATTGCTATGTAATTTTAACATTTTCTTTCACAAGTCAGTGTTTGTGGAAATTTTCTTGCAAAGTTAAAAAAGTAAATGGTGCATATTACCAGTACAACATTCTTGGTAGTTTGTGTTGTCATGGTTACAAGTTGTGTATTAATTTATTACAGTTTTTTGTGATAAACATGAGTATTCAGGAGCTTTATGCAACATTCACAACTTTGTGGTGGAAAAAATTGGTGTAAAGTTGTTTCAACTACAAAGCGTTGTATTCATAGCACTCCTTATTGGCTAAAAACTGATGTTGATATCAGTATCATCGCCCATTCACATTGTAGAAACTTGGGTCCCATGACATGCACCTACCAATCGGATGGTAGGAATTGCTGTCAGGTTATAATATCTGCCAATCAGATGTTGGGTTGCAGATTTCTTTGTTCCTTAACAGTGATGTTTCAAGTCATCAGTTCAAGAAAGTTTTTGAATTTTCTTTCAAATTACAAAAAAAAAACAAAAAACTGAAGAAGCTAAATAATTTGTTTCAAAATATTTTTACCAAAGTTTCTGCTTTAATTTGAGATTTTTATGAGAATCACCTCTTTTAAAAATGGAATGTGCCAGAATGGGTATATGTTAGCCTGGTAAATTGGTAATCATTGTAATGATGAATTGGCTAGAAGTTTAAGAAAACTGGATGCAAAATTTGTTAGTTTTTTTATAATTAAGCAACATTTAGGATATGAAAGTGTATATATATATGGACAATACTGTATTTATGTTTGTAGATTTGTTGAAGTAAATTGCATGTCATTGTATGGTGAATTTGTTTAACTCGTCATTTCTCTGAGTAAGTGCTTCCCCTATTTTGCACATGGTACAATCTGCTCTTTCATAGTATTGGGCTGATTCATTATACTGGGGAGGGAGGGAGGGAAGCATACATCATGATGGTGAATTACACTTATTTTTCTGTCTTTCTTTATTCTACTTTTTGGTTTTTGTAAATTAAAAATGTTTTGTATAATTCTAAGGATATGTTATTAAATTATCAGGGACACTGTTATCTTTGAACTTGTATTATTTATCTGATTTAAGCTGGTTTATTTTTGTAACATTTCATTTGATTTGTTGTCCATAAAGACTATGATTGAGTGTGTAATAAATTTTGCTACTGTGCTTATAAATTACAGGTGTGTTTGTTTGTTATTTGTGAACAATTACTGGAAACTTGTTTTTGTTTAATCACAGGCCCCAGAGAATTAAACTAGGAATCTGCAGGAGTTTTTTTTTTGTATACTGTGAAATACTTTATTTTAGCTTGAATTAATTTTCGCAGAAAAGACTTTTTGAGAGTTTTGTATAGAATTTATTCTCTCTGATTTGTGGCGAGTTGAATGTAAAATATAGGAAAAAAAGGGATTTTCGCTGGATTTTATTTTCACTGAATCGTTAATTCAGTGAAAAATAGAAAAAAATAATTCCAAGTGAAAATAAAGTATTTTACAGTAAGTAATATTTATAATTGGTAGAACTTAAGTTTCATAATTAACTTTGTTCTAAACTAGTTATAGATGAAATCATTTTCTCAATTTTTCAATTCAACATTGGCTGTGATATCATACTGCATCCATAATCCTTTGCTGGAGAGCCAAGATGGTCAACTGCATATATACTGGTAATAAAGTTGAATATTTAGTGAATAAAAAGTGATACTAAAAAAAAACTATAAATTGCATTCTCCTACATTTGCGAAGCTCTTTCTTCTGAGATCATTATGTTGTTTGCCAGGAATTTCCTTAAGTATTCTGATGTCCAGTAACCCTGTGACATTTTAATTTTTTTTCTTGTCTTAGACACATTTACGTTCAAGGTTGTGAATGATGGCCAAACAGCGACTGTCTCCTGTTTCAACAAATAAATGAAAGTGAACTCCATCTTTACACTTTTTAACATTATCGTCTAAGCTAGATACATCTTACTATCTGATAATAAAAACAGACTGTCCAAGTTGAACATTGTACATCATTGTGGCCAACTATTGATAAAATACTTTTTTCTCTGATATTGTCGACATTCTGAACCACTATCTTTTTGTCTTAAATGATACTGGTAGCTCAGCCAATGTTCACTCCTTATTAACACCAACATTTCAACAATACTTAGAGTAAAAGTTGACTGATAAAAAAAATCTGACTAAAGTCACTTGGTTTAGCGAACAACAAAAACAAATAAATGCAAGTAGGACTACATAGAATAAAAATAAAAGTATCTGGTAGAGGAAATGTTTTTTGTTTTTCTTTTTAAAAATGTTTTTTTTTTGTGCCAGGTGACAGTTTCATGCATTGACGGTCACTTTTTTCTCTCCAGAATATTCTTATGTGCAAATTGCAAGTGCAAGTGCTGACTTACAGTGCATTTTTACCATAGAAGCCATATTTGTGTTTGAGGGATGGCAAGGGGTATTTTCGTAAGCTGCAATCAATTGTTTTTATTTTCGCAAGTGTAATTTAAATAAATAAAAAATGTAAATTTGTAGACATGGGCAAGGTGTAAAATGTAATAAGCTATTTTATTCATCCGTAATTTGTACAAGGATATTATTTTTTGTAAGTGTATAAAGCATTTTCCCAATTAAATGTCGCAATTCATACGCAATTTCCAATGAGATGTTTAGTACAGCAGAAAGGAATGCATGGTTCCAGATGAAATGAGATTAAAGAAATCCTAGTAATGAAAAACATAGTTAAACTATTGAACACCTTGTGCATAATTTCTAGTGAAAGATGAAAGAAAGTGGGCGATAAATTGACTGTAAAAAGTGAACTTGTAACTGACATGTAATCTCTGTAATGTGAACCACATTCGATTTGCGAAACAAAGTCACATACACAAAGGTCCCACAATGTTCAATATGTGCCCCAAGTTTGAACAAAAATCCATGCACATATGAGTGCCATTTTGGTTCAGAATAGCACAAATACTTGATTTTGATAAACTGAAATGGTCGCTACTTGATCATTATGATTTGGACATTGAAATGAATGTATTGAAGCGTATATGTGTGACAATGATTTATGATGCACGGTGATATTTGAAAATGATTTATCCAGACATGTCGGAGAAAGGTACAGATGCACAGAGGAGAATAAACAGGTCCTTGTGTTTGGATTAACTCGGAACGGAAACGACTAGCAATGGTGTTATACAAGAACAATGCGGTCATCGGCCATCATTTATAAAATCACACTTACTACAATGAAATCTTGTAAACATCCCACTTAGTACAATGAAATCTTGTAAACATCCCACTTAGTACAATGAAACCTTGTAAACATCCCACTTAGTACAATGAAATCTTGTAAACATCCCACTTAGTACAATGAAATCTTGTAAACATCCCACTTAGTACAATGAAACCTTGTAAACATCCCACTTAGTACAATGAAATCTTGTAAACATCTCACTTACTACAATGAAATCTTGTAAACATCCCACTTAGTACAATGAAACCTTGTAAACATCCCACTTAGTACAATGAAATCTTGTAAACATCCTCACTTACTACAATGAAATCTTGTAAACATCCCACTTAGTACAATGAAACCTTGTAAACATCCCACTTAGTACAATGGAATCTTGTAAACACCCCACTTAGTACAATGAAATCTTGTAAACACCACACTTAGTACAATG